ATGAATACTGCTACAAAGTAGCCAGGTAACAACTAACTCACGACTTAGCTGACAGAACCTCGAGAGTATCCTCCAACACGTCCTCACGCTACGAGCGCTCGACCAAGACTGTCTCCATTTCCTCTTCAAGTAGCTTGCTTTTTTCCGCATGAAAATACAAGCTGTAAAATTATCGAGAGGATGAAGTTGAGAAAAGCCGTTGACGAACTTTAAAGTTCAACAAGTATTTTATACTGACTAAAAGTAAAATAACTGACGGACTATACGACGAAATATATCCAAACCAACTCCTTTATGGCCTGCATTGGGGTCTCTCTCCCACGCTGCCCTTTATTTTTTTTTAAATAACCACTCTCCATTTTAAGTTTTCTTTTAAATTTAGAAATTCCTCACCAATTACCTGATTTTTAGCAGTAATGCCAAAAATTGCTGTAAACCTCGCATTAGCTACTTTTCCGACCGATAATTGAAAACATGCGTTTCGTAATCCCATACGTGAATCCTATTTTTGTTTTTCTCTACCATTGAGAAACAATGGGTTAGTCTGGCTTCTTAACTTCACCGATGGCTTAGGCTGGAAGGGGTCAACCCATGGTCAGGATCATTGTTTCCATCCTGAAGCCCTTTGACCAAGTTACATTGAAACCAGCCTCCCAAGATTCCATATTTCTGGCCAAGCAGAGTCCACACCGGCAATAATTGAATAATTGATTCAAGCGTATCTGACCTTCTGGATTGCGCTTAACTTCTCTCATGATCCCCAACCCAAAAAGGTTTGCCGCCTTTGGTTCAAACTGAAACGAGGATGAGGAACGCATAGTGTTTCGATTGTGATGCGGAGGTGGAGCACCAATGGACTCGGCGACTTCTTTGAACGCACCTGTCGCTCAATTCGAGAACGAAGAGACGTATCGGGAAGTTTCTGACGAAGTGGAAGTGAGCATGGAAGTAAGTCTGGAATCAGGAGCCGAAAGTGAATGATTTCAAGTTGGAATAGGCAGCGACCTGGAGGGCAGGAGAGGGAGGGGTCAGCGTAACGAACGAATCACATTCTTCGCAATTTGTAGGATTTTTCGCAACTGTTTCTTGCCTTCTGTCTCTTGATCCTTTTTCGGAGCGCAATTTTTTCTTGAGTCATTTCTTAGGGGAGCATCGATGTGCATGGCTTAGCGTTCTTAGGTTCTATCCGTGAGGCGGACTAGACGAACTACTACTGGTAGTTCACTCCAGGGATTTAATGATAAAATCCCACTTGAAGGCTTGAAAACATTAAAGATGCATTCCTCTCAATTTTCAGGCGAGAGAGAGTGCTTTTAGTTCCTCTCCTTGACAGGTGACGGAGAAATGCACTGGGCACTCGGTGCATATCGGCATCGAGTGCCTAAGGATCAAGCTTCTTCCATCGAGGTCATTTCTTTGTCACGAGGCGGTCTGAATGCTTTATGAAATTTGCTGTGCGAGAATCCATTCACAGAATTTTGAGACAGACCAAGTCGATACTGCTTCATCGCGTTCAACGGTGATTCACCATCACAGCTTTCCACGAAGCGTCTTAGAGATGCAACTTCTCGTTCGTGGAGGGAAGGGGGATAGCTTTACGACGACCAATCAAGACTCATAAATTTTCGTACATGCTATATCCGTGGCTGAAACGAAGTCACCCTGCAAGCGACATTCCTAGTACGTGACGCACTCTCGTGGTGGCTGATGGAAGAGTAGGCGTGTTCGGACCCCGTTTGCTTGGTAATGGAATGGCTGGGTCGCCTCGCTTCCTCCCTCGACGATCAGTCGCTTTCCTCGCCTTCACGGTTCCGGGTGTCTCAGCCACGCGTTGCTCTTCACCCCTCCTATTCAGAATCGCCTCCTCTTTCCATTCCTAGACGGACTCATTCCTTCAATGCCATTTTGAATAACACGCGAAGGCAAGGACTGGCCTCGGATGTGAAGGGTAAGCTGTCGCGATTTTTCTTCTTTCAAAATTAACGGAACAGATCAAATAGATATTAAATTTTTTTAAGCTTGTGCTTTACTGCCTCCTTGAAGTTCAGATCTCGAAAGCGGTGGAAGAAGGTTGCAGGTTAGAAAGATTTCCCTTCACCTGCACGAACCAACAACGGAAATGGGTATGTCTCGATCGCCTTCACTATGTCCGATCTTTTCTCTCTCATTCGAAACTTCGATATATATTCACATGAATATCGAACGAAGTATGAGTAAATTGCCCCGAGAACGATATGACTGTCCGTTGTGGATGGGTTACACCCTCATCTCACGGCTGTGTGCAATGCCATGCTGATTCCTTTGGCATCGTTGTCTGCTGCAGGTTTGAGGGATAGGCAGGTGAGGGTGCCCGTGGATCCGGTTCAACGGAGAACGTACCACTTAAGCGAGGTACGATTTGGCAGAGGATTTACGCCCATTTCTCTAATTTTGACAACCTGCTGTTCGTGTCGACATTAACATTAGGATGAGTGGAGACTTAGGGTACGCATAAGTGACGTCGGTGCATCCTAACGCAGATGTCAGATGCAACAAAAAATCTGCTGACTTCGTGTTTGGAGGGAATGGAGAGTCAACCTTGGAAAATGTCTGCCGTGCATGTAATGTTCGCAAGATTTTATCCCCAGGGAGTAGAGTAGAGTAGAGAAGGGAAAGGGGAATTACTTTTCCTTCGAGTTTTCGTCTCTTCATGTACCCTTCAAGGTCACGTTGAGAGAATGCGAAGATAAGGAAAAAAAATTCCACAGCGGCTTCAGTTATGCTACCACCCTTCGACCTTCGCGACTGGGATTTCTCTAACGTCAGTGTTTGGAGTTGTGCTTCTTTGGCTTCTTCAAACTTCTCTGCTAGTGTTCTCGAACTGAAGACTCATTTTTATTCATGCATCATTGCCTAAAAAGTATGAGTCAAGGGCAAACTCGAGGCATCCTTTTGAGCGGCGATAGGGCATTGGAACTGCTACATATTTGCTTTCATGCGTTGCATGGAAGAAATCTCTCACTCTCAGAGGTAAAATGAACCATTTCTAATGTCTTTCCTCGTGCAACTCGTTTGTGTACTGGAATTAAAAGCTCGACGGTACCGAAAATCAGGATAATAAAGTATTGATTTCAAATAGTGCATTCGCCAAGAAAGGGAGAAGAAGATATTCCTTGCATCATAAGATAGAGAAGCATAAGAGATGCAATGCTCAGCTTCATCAATGACAGCATTACATGGATGACTTGTTAAATCAACCTGTTCCACGGAGCATCTTGAATGCAGAAGAGGTACGCTTCAGGTAAATCCTAACCTTTTAATCTGTGGATGTTTACATCCACAAGTGACAAGTGAGTAGTTTTCAGTTGAAATTTGGGCAGTAAACAATTTTCAAGTGCATTATGCCAAAGTTTGGTGATTTGCTAAAGAACGAGAACTGCTGAAACCAGACGTACCAGGAGAGCCTGTATTCGCCACAGTACCATTACTAAACGCCATGGTAATGGTGATTCTGATTGAAGATTGTTTGGATTTGATTTCGGGGGAAGCCTAGATAAAACCATGTCATAATCTGAGAAGGAAGTGAAACGGCTGGTTTGACTAGGACTTCCCCGGTTCAGCCCCGCTTAGGGAAGAGGGGTGTTCATTCCGATGTACCTGCAAACATCCAGGACCGGACAGCGGCGACAGCAAAGGAGACGCTTCGAGGTGTCACATCTCCCTCCAGATGCAGAAGAAAGAAAACACATCGATATTATCCACTTCTAATGTGGGTTATCTAACTGAAGCAACTTTCGCTACACCTGAGATTCAAGGTAAATAAATGCCATGTGTTCATCTTAGTTCCCTTCCCGAGCGGAGACTCTTGACCCTTCGTCCGTACGTTTGAAACAGTATGAGCAGTCGGCACGAATTCCAGCCTTTAGTAAATTCTGAACGACCTGATCGTTTCACGGACTGTCACCGACACTCCCTCTCGTCATCATGCATTAACGCGTCTTTGAGAAATGGTGTCTCCCTGATTTTGATACCTTGAAAGTCTACAAAATACGCCTAAAGCGAGAGATCGTCACCGTTTCGTCCCTCGTGTTGAAGGAATGAGTATATGCACTGTGCAGTCTTTAATTTCGGCCTCCTCTCTTATATCGGCTTCCTTCTCGAACTATGATGAGACTACGGCAGGGTGTCAAACTTACGGCCCGTGGAGGTGATTCATACGGCCCGTCGTCTGTTCTTGAAATTTCCACTTAGATTGACTGTCTGCACAAATTTCGGTCAAAAAGTATGGGTGCGGTCCGCAGGCATCTGCACGGTAAGGAATGCAGCCCACCAACCGGTTTGAGTTTGACACCCCTGGACTACGGAATAAGAAATATTGATTTCCTACTGTACAGTCCGACCGTAATCTAATGAAGAGAGCGCCGAAAAACGAGGGACAGTAATTGAATGCTCTCGACTGTCCTATACTAGGCGAAACCCTGGTTGATATGAAGGAGAGTTTCTGGTATGATGAATGATGAAAATAATGATATCGCAGCATGCATCACAGGCTATCTTTAGAACTTCTACAAGTTTTCCAGAAAGTAGAGTGTGTAGTTAAAGTCAACCCTCGATATGCTGCCACCCTCGCTCACCACCAGCCCTTTTCTGAGAACGAATCTTCCCCATATGTCGATATTGGGTGGCGCAAAAAGACTGCGACCTGTTTGATACCTTATGAACTCAGAAGGCGTTTTGTTTTAAAATGGGACGCATCTGCTGAAACTGGTTCTTTCCGATGCGCGGAAAAGCGCAATTTATTATCGAAGTTTCAATGACTGTTGCTCTTTACTCAAACAGCCAAGAGACTTCAAAACTTTCATTGCGCAAATTTTAGTGCCTTTTCTGTGATTCACAAATCTAACATTTCCACAAATAAGTCCTCAGAGGACGCGTTTTTTTTTGCGCCACCCGGTAATAGGCGATTCCCCGTTATAGCGCCACTCTAGCGAGCCATCATCCGTCAACACCATAATTTGTACAAACGACCATTTTTCCCCCCACATAAATCCTTCTCGATTTTGCGCCAAGTATACTTGGCTGTAGGATACGCGCCGCAACCTTCTCCAGTAATAAGCGCAGCTAAATGTTCGTTGCCACCGTGAGAGGTGACTCATTGCCGTGGAATGGACAGCGCATAGGCCAAGGATAGGGAACCGAGGAGACGGAGGATGGCAATATAAGCTACACGTTCATTTAGTCAAATTGACCTTTGGAGATTTCGGTATCGTAGCTAATAGGTTCGTTCGATACAGCATCATACGCGTCATAGCGCCAAAATCGGCGACGACCGACAGATGCGTTACATCGAGGGTTGACTATATAATTCTAGAGAATCCTCTATAAATGGCAGGACTTTCAATAAAACTGCAATAGCTTATAGAGTGCTTTGGTTACTTAGACTCATAGAGTCTGTATAGAGCAGGGATGTGCAACCTGCGGACCTGCTTCTTGTGGCTCGATATTGCATAAATGGATAACGGATAAAATAAGTTTCTTTGTGGCCCAAGGCCCAACACAACTTTGGTCATCCCTCAGTAACGAGAATAGAAATCGACTGAATCCTTTCACTTCCTTCCTCTATTTATTCCGCACGCGGGGGCGCTACGTATGTCTCGAAGAATGCCAAGGAATAATTTTAGGCGTCGGAATTTCCTAGGGGTGTGGCGGGGGTAAGGACCATCGGCCAATCAGCGCGACCTCATGCCCTCATATGCCCTGAGGGCAAAAGAAGGGAGCCTTTGCATTTCATGGTCCGCGTGAAGAGTCAGATATTTCCATGTGTCCCACTACCGATAAAGGTTGCACACCCCAGGTATAAAGGATTCTTGAGAATTCTATATAACTATGAAGATTCTTTTCCTTATTGAAAGCTTTAAAATTCTAAAGAATACCTCTAAAGAATTTCTACAGAGGCATTCTTCAGGACACAGAACCGGGATAAGTATGTAAACACCGAGTGCAAATGGCATCACTAACTGAAAATCTCTTCCGTTTACCACATTCAGTTCTTGAGTTGAGTGATTTAATGACAGCTTAAAAAATTTTGAGGGTGTGCTGTGAAAAATACCCGACAAAGGAAATATCTGATCCAGACTCGGATAGATAACAAAAATTAAAGAAGGGACATTTCTGAGCATGCAGTAGCACAACCAGCAACTCGGGGTGGTGAGTTCGGGAAAGTTCGGAACGACCCGTCTTTCAAATGCCTCCGAATGCAAGAAGACTTTATAAAATCATCAGGAGATACGAACTTATATTATTCACAGTACAAACCTAACGCGATGTGGAATGCGCGCCAGTTCGTCCAGGACGTCATTAGGGTACACATGCCGGTAGTCCGCTTATTCACTTTACCATTTCAAAGCTAATGATGTCACACCTACAGGAATCAAATTCATGGATGTAGCATCGGGCTTGTTATTTAGGTGCTTTCTACGACAGAGCCAGAAAATCGTGGCAAATAGGAATTTTCAATAAATACATTTTAAGGGGAGTCATCTCTTCAAAGTAATTTAATGGAAATTTTAGAGACTTTTCCTGAATATAGCTGATTCTTCGCATTTTTCAATTTTTGGTACATTTACAATTAAGGAGTAGTAAAAATTTGTTTTCTGAATTTCGCTTGCTGTCGTGAGTAATGGGTTGGCAATTGACATTGGAGCAACAAGAATATGCAAGAAAAGTTGCTATCCGAGTGGAGGTTGGAGAACCGAACCGACTCGAATCTTATCCTAAGACTGCTCGTAGTAGTTTGGAAAATATTCTCTTTTGAAATGGTAAAGTGAATTATGGGATTCACTGTATATACAAAAGTCCACCCTCATCAATTGAGCGTAACTGGTAACTTACACCTGTGCACTATACATTTTATCGACTTAGATAAATAGGTCATTTGTGTCCATGAGAAAAGGTATTTTCCAATTTCTAGTGTAAAACAAGAAACGAAGCAACATTTTATGAAATGGAGAAAACTGAATTTTAGAAGTAAATGATTAAGAAAAACCAAAGAAAAATGAAATTAGATTCGGATATCACTGAGCAGACATGCTACTGGAAATTCAGTAACTTGTACGTGATTCAAGATGTCGTCCTTCCGTTCCTAAAAAAAATCCAACAGCATCACATAAGTAGGATGTTCCATGACAGTTTCACTTTCCTCAAGCCAAGAGCCATATGTGATTGGCGTGACCTTCATCAACGACCCTGAACTCTTCTTACTTTCTAGCCTCGCTCTCAAGTCATTTCCTCATGATAAAATCGCTTTGCGTCCCCCCCCCCGGGGGGAGAGGGGGAGCGGAGAGATGCTATCTTGTTCTTGAGAGTGCTGATTTTCATATTTCTTCGGTCAGTTATCAAACAGATCGAAGAATGAATGAAATAAATCTGGATGAAGGAAAGGAGCGTCAGAAATGATGATATATGCACTCATTATTCAGATAAGATTACCCGTGCAGTAGTAATTCTATACATTCCAAAACTCGCTTTCTTCCGCCATCACGCCGGAAATTTCTTATTGTCCTCACATTTGCACTTTTTGCCAAATTGGTGTATAAAGTGAAAACCAACAGTAATTTTTAAAATTATCCATTCGGCGTATTTTCAAAGGCCTTTATCTTTCGTCAGCTCTTAGGCACCACATGTGCTCCAGTCACGTGACACTATCCAAGAACCAGAAGGCCTTGAAGCCGCTGGAAAGAACGATCAAAAGGGAGAGGAACAAAAACGCAGACGATGACGTATGATGACGTCGCATGCAAGATGGCCCCTTTGCTCTCGTGTCTTCCTCTCTCCCCCTCCCATCCCCTCCCACTTCGTTTTATTTGTCATTGTTCGGCTAGGGTTACGCCTAATTCTGCCTTTCATTCATGAAAAAAAGCGATTCGGCTTAAAGTAGTACTACCTTGGTCAAAGAAAGGGAGACCCGAAGCGTTTCCCAATTCCCACCTCACCCCGATCACAGTTACAATGTCTTAACGTTAGCGGTGGAACTAACGTTAAGCTAAAATGTGCCCGTGCATCACGTCGATCTATTCACCTCTGGACATAATTGCCGTAGCTTGTCAAAAAGAAGGCAAGGGTGGCGGTGAAGCAATTAGTAGAAAGATCAACATTGATTTACGTTGTGCTCTCATAAAATTAAGTTCTGGCCTATGGGCGTAGGCATCATGTTGCGAATGTCACCATCTTATGCTGTTCGAAAATTCAATATAAATATTTTGATCTTGGATAGAGGTAAGAAACATGCCACTGGTTTTTCCATGCATGCATAGGAGGTGCATGGGGCGTTTTGGGGAGGTTTCTATCTCCCAGTAATTGGTGAAAAATGCCATTTGCCAGAGGAGTAAGAGGGTAAGTTATCCAGAGTGGATAACTTACCATTCTACTTTATTTATTTATAAATTGTCAGCACTCTTCTGGATTCATTCCTCTTGGACTCCTGTTGGTGAATATGGCAATTAGACTCATGTGCAGCCAGAGAATCTGAATGACCTGATCCTCGTCTTATGAAGACGTAGCAGGGTAAATAGGCCTAGCCCTTCTGATGAGACACATCTCTCCTGGAAAGGCCAATCATCAAGTCTTTTCACCTATGTCACACATTTTTACCTCTTCAAAAACAAGGCATAATACAAACCTAGAAGGCTGAATGAAAAATGAAATTTGCAAAGCTCTCCAGAATGATTAACTTGGAATCTCTTAAGAAGAACTGGTATTGCTATAAAAAGTAATTTTTAACTTGTTATGCACAGTGATATCAGCAACTCAGATCCAAGGTTAAAAAAAATATTGCTGAAAAGGGAGATTAGATCTAGCAGTTGACCTTTGCTGAAGAACTGAAAGACCTTTGATGAATGTCTTGATAATGGGAAAATTGAGATAGATGAAAATATAATTCCCCCTGGAATGATCCCAATTGTGCCTGCTAAATGAACTTGGTACCACTTTATGCAGGGAAGATCCTGAGCTTTTCTACCATGGGTGACATGCACCATATCTGTTTAAGCTGAACTAATCTGGCTTCACAATGGTCCCCAATGGGAATCAGTTTAAAAGAGATAAACTTATTCCCATAGACGCCCATTATGAAAATGAATCAGTTTAAAGTTAAACAGATCTGGTGCATGTCACCCCATATGTAGAAGAGTATCAGGCATCTCTCTCCTAGAATTACTAAATAGCCATGGCCATGGAGGCTTGGATCTAAGAAAAGCAGTAGTCCCTCGGGAGTTTTTTTTTATTTATTTACATGTGAAATGAAAACTTTGGAAGTGATTGGGGTTTTTCATTCTCCACCTTCCAACCAATTGTTTGAAACCAAAGTAGAAATTCTTTGCCTGGAGGACATTGCAGGAGCTACAATCCTAAAAATCTCAAGGACTGGAGTGGATGTGGTAAGAATCTGCTGAACTGTCAGTACCTCTGTACCATCTTTTTTTTGCTGTTCTTTGAAAGAAGCCTCTATTCAGTATCTTGTAAATGAATTCATGCCAACTTATTTAGGTGTATAAGATATACAATACCCATTTTCTTGAATGTGAGCTTCATCATGTGAATGAGGTGCCCCTGGGTCCAGTTCAGCTCTACTTGTTTTGGACTGAATTCACTCATTCTCTATTCATTCATTCTCCACCACCCCCTTGGATGGTGGAAAATAGAGAGAGCATTACTTCCAGAGGATCTGCTTCTTCCAAAAATCCAAAAAATCATCCTTATGAATGATGTCTCTACTTGCAATTGATGGAAGTGTTCCTATGGGGGTACAAATTAAATCTAAAAACAGTGCATTTGTAATTCTGCTTTTTGCCCTTTGGGAGTGGAGTATGCCTGTTAATGTGTGAAGAACTTCAGTATACATGGTGTCAGCTATGGGGTCATACTAATTGCCTTAAATAGGCACCTATACGATTTTTCTGGATGAAACTTGGCAGGAAAACTCCTAAACATATATGGTGAAAGAGCAAGCAAAGTTTTGAGGTCATGAGATATGCCAATGCAGAGATAGAAAATTGGCAAAAGTCCTAGAAGTTGAAGAAGTGGGTGGTGCCATTGTAGGTGCCAGTTTACCTCTCTTTCTCTCAAGCTGCTTCACTATGGGGCTGTTGTTAAGGGTCAAACTTAGGTAATGTCAAGGTGCAACTTTGAAGACAAAAACAGCAAGTTTTTAGAGTGTATAATTGATATAGACTAATTGGGATGCATGTATCAGGTTGATGCATGCATCAAGCAATGCAAAGGAAGTATTTTTCTTAGCAATAATGTTGCTGAAGTGAGTATGAAAAAACAATTTGAAGTCATTATCTCCAGTAGTTAGCTTTTATGCAACAAAGGGTTAACCTCAAACCATTGAAAATCATCAGCTTTCCCTATTCTACTGTATAATCATGCCCTATCCATGCCAGATTTGAGGGCATGAGGAAATGTAATACTCCTAGGATATCTAAGCATTTTGGTTTTTTAAATTTTTATTTGATGCATTATTTTACTATCATTACATCAAAAAATTATTGCAGGCACGGTTGAACACCAGTCCAAAGTGCTACACAGGTTCACTCTTGATGTTGTCTTGAACAGCATGTCTGGAAACCGTAAGTATCGATACAAAAATGCCTCTCTGGGCACGGATGAGCTTCGTAGGAGACGAGAGGAGGAGGGAGTGCAGTTGAGGAAACAGAAGAGGGAACAGCAGCTTGCTAAGAGGAGAAATGTTCGAGAGGTTGATGAGGTGCAGGATGATGAAGTCTCCTCTTCTATGCAGGTGAGGAGGAAGGGCTTTTGGTTTTTTAATGAGTTTAAATTTATTTCACTTTGAGAAACTTATTCAATGATTCCTGTCAACTTCTTAAAATGAAATGGCATGGCATGCTAAAAGCTTATGGAGATGATTGCCATCCTCTCCACTCAGAAGAGATATGAGTATATGCTTCCCACTGTAATCTATAGTATTGGCAGAAAGTATTGCAACACCATAGGAAAAATGAAGTTTATGTTTCCCAATGCAGAAGAAAGAAATAATACAGGCAATTCCAAGTGATCTTTATTCAGAATTCCATAACTTGATATCGGCAGTGTTTACCTTTAGCAGCAAGCACCAGGTGAATGTGATTTGATATAGACTCAACAAGAGTCTTGCACAATGGGGTAAATTGTGCATGAAGCCATGGAGGCAGTATTTCTTATAAATCTGTGACAGAGACGAATAGTGCGCACCACACCTCAATGCAATCTGACGCACTGAATATCCTTCTTTAGAAAGGCACACGATAGAAGCACACTACTCAGCAGATATCTCATTGGTCTTGGGCATTGTCAGCAAAAAATGACTGAAGTCCTCACTTTAACCACATGGTATCTTATAATAGAATGTGTTCTAAAAATAGATTTTGGACTACCCACACTTATATTATCATTCTGTGATTGGATAGTAACTTTATTTACAATAAAACCTTTACTGACAGTAAAACTAAGCATTAGAGGTAGGTAAAATGTGTTTTTTTTTATAGGTGTCGCAATACTTTCTGCCAATACTGTAGATACTAGTGTAGTTTGTAGTTAGTTTTGGAACTGGTAAGTTCCAGTAGCAAAAATCAGGTTTTCACTAATTTTTGCTAGAAAAAAAAAACTGGAAAAAAAAAAAATTTTTTTAACTATTTAAATTTCATGCTTTATGAAGGACTGTATTCTCTTTATTCAAGTTGAGAACGCCATCATGCCTTAAAACTGAAAAATAACTATTCTCCAAGGTTAACCATGAACAAAACTGACTTCATCACTGGTGAATTATTGGATGTATGCTCATTGGCTACCTTTATTGATCCTATATCCTTCTAACCTGCAATTTCTGTCCATTGAGAAAAGACTGACTTCCTCTTAATAGATTTGCATTTCTGGCATCTGGCCAAGGGGATTTCTTAGCTTTATTCAACCTTTTTTGGTCAGCTGAATATGTTGTTATATGCATAAGAATAAAGATTCAGAGCACTATTCAGATGGCTCTATAAACTCCTGATACCAAGGAATGTTGCCAATTGTCCAGTACCAAACATTGGCTCAAATTTAAATGAAATATTCACATGTAAATCTGAAGCAATGTTAATATGACATACTGCAAGGCTGTAAGAATAGTATAGAAAACTGCTAAATTCATAAAAGTTTTTCCCTATGTGTGGATGCAGGGCTTCAGAGAGTTGAGAATATTTCTAGAACCTTTGAAGATCTAAATTATATGTTTTAGGACCATCATTTGTGGAGCCCAAATGGAATTTGACAGTAAAATAAGATCAAAATCTGGGAACTTATTTTTGCTTTTGACTTGCCTTCCCCCTTAAAAACATGACAGACAGGAAACTAATAATAGGAAGAAACATTGAGATTATTAATTGGTCTTACCAGACTTGAAATTCTTTTCCAAGATGTTTCTGAGACATGTTGAATATTGGGCACCACTGGGAAGAAGACAAAAGACAGAAAGGTTGTATGAAGAGCTGTGCAACAATTTGATCACATAGGAAATGTATTAAATGGAAAATTAATTGAGCTAGTACTAGTGTTTTTTTTAAGTAATAGAGAAAAATCACTATCTATCTGGAAAGCTTATCATGTTCTGAAAGAATCATACTTGTATCTAAAATCAAACAAGTTATGAAAGATGCAATTTTGGCTGAATGTAAAAATTTTTAGTGTAGAGTTTTTAAGTATTTTGGAAAAATAAATTGCAACTTCCTAATCAAGCTGCAGAATGTTGGTGGAACCCAGATCAGAATTAAGCTGAATTGCCTAATTTCTAACTTTCAAGTATTCTTTTACCCAGCTTTTTATTTATAACTCAAGGAGCCTTGGAGATGTGTTTTTTGTCCCTTCCCATCAAAATTTAAGGGGGTATATCTTGGAGACCCTTTGACTTTAGACTGTTCAAATTTCAAATTTACAAATTTCTCATGACCCTCAAAGGCTATGATTTTCTCAGCTAAATTCCAGTTTATGTTGCTACCAACTTCCTGAATTTTGGATTATGTCACTTGGAATGACCCCAATTTGCTTTCCTGATAAGACCCCACCTCATGGAGGTGGTGAAGGTCCATTAGCAGATCAAGAGCATGTAGGTGTAGGTATTCCACCTTCAGTGGCATAGGCAGGAAATTGGTAAGGGAGGGGGGGGTTGAGGCCAGGTAGACACCCCAACTCCACTAACTCCACTACCCGGAATTTACCTTTTCAAAGAAATCATGGTCTGGCATCTTGGGTCTGTGGACGGACCTCAGACTTTCCTCGAAGGGGCATAGCTAAAATAGGAATTCCCAAGGAAGGTTGAAATATGCCTGTCAGTGTCACTGACCGGGAAGCCCAAGGGGGGGAGGTTCTAACCCCCCTAAAACCCCCCTCCCCCTCCCTATGCCACTGTCCACCTTCCTGATTTGACATGATATTGCAGGTAATCTATGAGTCATTCAATAGTGCTTTTTCAAACTAAAATCCAGCAAAATCTAAGAGGTTATGATCAGCAGGCTGCAAACTAAGAATAAAAATGGTGCTGAAAAGTTTTTAACATGTCTGTGTGGGAATATAGCATAATTGTGCTTCAAACATGTATCCAGGTTCTTATGTGTGGTTATTAAAAAAAAAATATTGCACTATTTGCTGAATATAAGATTTTGACTTTATTCACTCTAAGATGCATTCAGACTGCAATGCTTCATCTTGTTCACTGCCATTGTCTATGCTATGTTGAATTCACCACATTGAAGGTTAAACATTGCATTGATAACTTGAGCACACATGTGATAGGATATGTGTTCAATAGCTGAGGTGATCTAGTTATGTAAGTCATCCAGAAGAATCTGAATCAGGTAACTTTTTAAAATTAACACATAATATTGTGTGCATATTTTTCACATACTTTTTGTAATAACAGGCTTCCATATATAAAATTATAAGTTGAAAAACTGTATGTTGCAATATTGGAAGAAAGATGATCAGAACAAAAATGTTGGAAAACATTGAGTCAAACTTTTTTGTTTTTGCTGTAAAATGATAATACTTGAACTGGTGTCATAATACTAACAAGATAAACAGCTTAGCCAACATAGTAATTCTTTGTATAAGTGCAGACAGGTTATTAGAAATGGCTAATTTTTCACCATTTGTCAGAGTGAGGTGAGTAATGATAATAAAGTCATTATTCTCTTTCTGCTATCACCCAAAATATACTGATTATGATGATGCAAGATGAAGATAAGATGCTTGTGCATACCCTGCATTGGACTGTCATTGCCAAGTGGACATGAGAATTGGTTTCTTCTCTCAGGCTGATGTGTCCAGCTCTAATCAAGTGACTGGTATAGATGAGAACATGATCTGGGCAATTCAGAGTGGGAAGAATGACAGTGAGTTTGAAGCAACACAGAAATTTAGGAAGCTTCTGTCTCGAGAACCAAATCCCCCAATTGATGAGGTCATCCGCACTGGCATCATCCCAAAATTTGTGGAGTTCCTTACCAGAGAATCTGATTATGCACTACAGGTAAATGGCAGATACTTCTTATGCATTTTATATTTTTTGGTTCTATTTTCTTCATGACTCCATTATTCATTGAAAAATTTTGAACTTATTCATGTGCTTTTCTCTTAAGTGCTGAATCAATCACAGTATCTCTTAATATAAGGAATGAAGTCTACTACAGATGGAGTCGTGACATACCATGCTTATCAGCTGAATGTTTTGAGATTAACAGAGGTTTTATTGTGGGATTCCTTTCACTGTGGTGACCGAGTAAACTTAATGGTAGGAAGTTGTGCCATCAGTGTGGCTGACAGGAATACTTGATCTCAGAACGTAGTACAAGAAATGTTATAATTCTATCTATATTCTATTCCAAATGACCTTTTGCTGTGATGTGCCCTATGTACTTAAAAAAAAAAAAACAGCATTGGGGCTGCTGTCAATTGCTAAAGAACTCAGTGGTGTAAGGATGAAACAATGGATTATTACATGTCAATACAATAAACCTATGCACTCGGGGTCAGACAGCTTCATGCAGAATTATTTATGCAGACCATTTTGCATGAGTTTTTGTGAGACAATATTTCCTTCACCGAATGAAAGGAGCTTGCTCCAATTTAGTGATTTCTATTTTATGGATACATTCCTACTGGTGGAAATTATTTAGGTCTTGGTTTTGTTCCTTGGTTTGGTTCTTCACAGAGCCTGCAAAGATGCAAATTCAACTACTCTGATGAGATTTCTAGTATTTTCTTGCCTGCAAAAATGATTTTTGCATGAATTGTCATTCATGCAGTAATTGACCTATGTGAATTTTGGAGGTATCTCAATGTTGCTGTATCCATGCTTGGGCAGTTTGAGGCAGCATGGGCTTTGACAAACATAGCGTCAGGGACATCACAGCAGACTCGGGTGGTGATTGAAGCTGGAGCTGTGCCCATCTTCATTCGCCTTCTGAGCAGTCCCTATGAAGATGTGCAGGAGCAGGCTGTCTGGGCCCTGGGGAACATTGCTGGAGATTCCCCTGAATATCGGGACTATGTCCTTCAGGAAGGCATCCTTGCTCCGCTCCTTCAGTGAGTATAATCAGTGGGCTCATTTTTAGGGTAAGCCTTAAAGACATTAAAACATCATGGTATAGTGCAAAATACTTAAGGCTGCTGCCTTCCTAAAATCCTATCCCACTTCTTTATAAAAGATTCTTCATACAGAACAGAATAACTTCCATGTTTGCTTTATGAACAAAAGTTCTCCTGAGGTAGGGTTTCAGTTTGTGCAATTATTTGCTACCTCAGTTTATTAAAAAAAATTTAAATTACATGAGTTATGGTATTGCTTTTGAGTAGATTTTCTTTTAATACCAAGTACCTAATCCCTAGTTTGGTGGAGTTTTATATTTTAAAATGTTCAGCTGTCAGTTCTAAGAACTGTCTGCTCATTTTGAGCTTTGAGCGATAGAAAATATAGCAAAATAGGTGAGTCCTATGTGTTGGTGACAACTATAGTGTTTTTTTGAAATGATAGAACTTCACCTAAATGGCTCTTTTATTTCAGGAAAAAGAGATTCAATATCCCAGCATGGAGAGTTGTTTTAAAGTAATATAAATGATGCATTTCTTTTTGAACTGTGGATATGTAGCAAAGTAGGTTTAGAGGGTTTCTGAATTGATGTCAAGACAGGCTGAGTGATACATAATTATTTCACCAATTAGCATTCAACTAGGTTGTTTATTTCACATGGTGGTCTACATGGTCATGTTCAATGGCCAATGCAAGCCTCTGAGATGCAGTTTGTGTACCTGTAGTATCAGAGAATTTCGAGGCTCCCCTCACTAAAATCAAATATACTGAGCAACACAATATTTCATTTTTCTGATTGAAGGTAGCCTTCCAACAACCTACGAGGAAGAGTATAAGTCCAGAGTCCTGGCAGTACTTGAATTTCATTAAAGAAACTTTGTTTTCCACCTGTACTTTAGAGGAGCACCATAGATGCAGGTAATCCTAGTCTGAAAATGTGGTTCCTTGCAGTGGTTTGGGTGCCTATTGAGTTGAGCTATTCTACAAAGACTTGACATAAGTAAGTAGACTCTCAAAGTTTGGAAGAACATGGAGGTGGCAAAGTATGAGTAGGGATAATACTTCCTTCCTCAGACCTGTTTTTATAACTAGCAATTAATGTGCTTATCATGTGACAGGAATGGCCTATTAGAATCCCAGTTTGTCTACTTATTTCTGCATTTTACCAAAGTTAAAGATAAATTATAGAATGTTGGGTAGAAGGAAGGTATATGCTCCCTTCCTTTCTGCCACTTGGACTTGCGTGAAGCCTTCACTTCAGAAATGCTTGCATCGTGTTAGCACAATACAGTCTTCTGACTACTTTCTGTGCATTATTCTCAATAGAGAAGTCAAGAAAATGGAATTTTAGAACTATATTAGCAGTCATTAAAATGAGTAATAGCTGAAAGAATTGGACTGTAGATACAAGCTGCCAAAATGAGGTTCTTATGTTGAGTGGCAAAAATGTCACACACTTGAAGTGGATTTTGAGTGCCTGCCATCTGGGAGATGGCCTTCAGGTTAAGCAGCTGAGGTCTCAATCAAGTCCAGTGGTTTGGACATGTACTTTCTAAGAGATTCCCAAAAGAAGTATCTCAATTCTAAGTGTCTGGCAAAAGTTCATTTAGTAGGCCTTGTACCAGTTGGAATGACAACTTGGTGAAGCTTAACCATGAAAGACTTGGCATTCCACTTTTCAAGCAAATGTCCATTGCCAGAATCAAGAACTAGGATGCACCTGGGCCTGCTTTGACTCAATCCCATTAAGTTTGAATGGACAGTTTGGAAGAGGAATGAATGAATGTGATGTTTTCAGTGATGTTTTCTTCATGTAATTTTTCACACCAGTCTTTCATGAACTCTTTCATTTTACTCAGCTTTTTGCATCTTTCTACCAGTGGATGTGAAAGAACAGAAGTTTTACTTGGCAAATTCCAAATTCTGGAAGCACTATATTCAGCAGATGGGCCTAGTAATATTGGATGATGTAGTATTAAATCAGGATGTTGATTGGTAACAGTAAAACTTTCATATAATGTTTGACCAATCTCTGCCAATGAAATGTGCAGTGGGTGAACTATTAGGCCTATGTATTCTTGCTGAATATTTTTTTATACACTTTTTTTGTCTTTGATGAGAAAGGACCCTGTCAGAGGTTTTGTTTTTTGTTCTAAGTTTGAAACATGGCTCTTATGGAAACAGATTGTTGGGGAAATCTACACGAATCTCAATGATGCGAAATGCAGTGTGGGCACTTTCTAATCTTTGCCGAGGGAAAACCCCGCCACCAGATTTCTCAAAAGTGAGTCCATGTCTCCCAGTATTGGCCCGCCTGCTCTTCCATGGGGATCCTGAGATTCTGGCTGACACCTGCTGGGCCCTCTCCTATCTCTCTGATGGCCCCAATGACAAGATCCAAGCTGTCATTGACTCTGGTGTCTGTCGACGACTTGTTGAACTCCTTATGTGGGTCCTCTCATTTTTTTTACAATTTTATACAATTCAAATTCTCTGCTAATAGAGTTCAGGAGAACTTGACATGAAATCAGTAACAGTCAAGTTTGGTTAGATTTTATGTTGTGTAAGTTTTGAGACCTTGATATTACCTTCAGATGACTACAAGTTTTCCAATTGAATGGCAAATATTATTGTAACAGTACTACTAAGTGTATTAAGTTTAGTCTTGTTTTAGAGAGCAAGAATTTTGAGCTTGATAGAGCAAGAGTTTTGAATGCACTAATTGTCTTCTCATTGTACTGAAAGCATCATTGTATTTGGGTTACATATCCTGTTTTAAATCATGCCAGGAATGATTTGATCGATGGAGGTATCATTGGGGTTGCAGAGGTGTTACTCCTTGCATTGATGTTGAACTTTGTAATTTTCCATATGTGGTTGTCATGTCCTTGTAGGCACAACCAAACTGGAGTTGTGTCGGCAGCCCTACGTGCAGTTGGAAACATAGTGACTGGGGATGATGTTCAGACACAGGTGATTATCAACTGCTCTGTCCTCCCATGTCTCCTCTCCCTCTTGTCCTCTGCCAAGGAATCGATTCGCAAGGAGGCCTGCTGGACCATCTCCAACATCACTGCTGGCAATAGACAGCAGATCCAGGTGAGCAAGAAAGAGAAATCATGGGGTTTCTGGACTTAATTCTATGACTGAGCCAGTTTCAGTAAATTTAAGCTGGCAGATGTCTCCCTTCATCACATATTGAAGAAAGCCTTTGTAATATGGAAGACAAGGTTATATTATCCCTTAGTTGCATGATGTAAATGTTTGTGCCAATTATTTTTACACTTGGTTTTATAACTCTCACACTAAGCTACTTACCCTAGAACATGGGTGTCAAACTGGCAGTCCACAGGCCGAATCCAGCCCACCAGTCCATTTTGTCTGGCCTGCAAAGTCCTCCTCAACAGTTGGTTACGGAAAAGTACTGCAAATTTCAGCCTGTTTGTATTAAAGATTAGGTGTTTGATTTTTATTTTGGCCCCTTTTCACCCCAAAAGGCTTCCATTCTGCCCCTAGCATAATTGAGTTTGACACCTCTACCCTAGAACATGGTGCATACATTTTTGGGCATTTTAGAAGATCACAGTTGGTGTCATGCTTAACTCTAGGGTTCTGGGATCCAAAATGCCACTGAAAGATATGAATGCAAATGTGGATGTAATGCAACAGAATCCAGGAGCAAGAGACATGCAGCAGTTTTAATATTGTCCAGACATTTGAATAGTCAGTATGGAAGTTCCTAAATTGAAATTTCAAGAAATTTCCTGCATTAGACAGTATCCTGATATGAGGTATGTTCTAAAAGTAGTGGTCACTGTGGCAAAGCTTCTGTGTCTTTCCAGGAGCAAAAAAATATTGCTGGAGTCTTTTACAGCTGTGAAATTTCAGCATTGAATCGAATTTTATTTTTATTTCTTTATTTCTTGCATACAGTTGGTTGAATTAGCTGCTTACTTTTTTTTTTTTTTTTAGAAGAGTAACAAAGGCCTGACCCTCTTAGAATTGTTTTACCCGCCTATGAACTGTCATTGATGGAAGAGCAGGCCCTCTGCAGACTTGATGAAGCTGCTGAATGATGAGAGCATAATTGCCTTTATGGGAAATAAAGATTTATTGAGAGCTTTCTTTTGAAAAATCAGCCATATTCAATCAATTGATTCAACCAATTGTACTTGAAAAAAGTAATGACATTTGGTACAGAGCTGAAATTTCACTCAAGTGTAGAAGAAACAGCTTGTAAAATACTTGGCATTCAAATGCTACTCCTGGAGAGATGGAGCTGAACAGCAGTGAGCACTGTTTTTTTTTAAGCACACCACACAGTATGCTAGGTCTTTAACTTTTTTGCTGCAGTGGTCAACTTTTCTCACACAGCAGCTAGTACTCCCTGACCCATGTAGATTCAATTATGCAGCAAAAAAGCAATGAATTCTGTCAATGGCATTTATGGTTGCCAATTTGAATAGACTAACCAGAGTTTTAATCATTTTTTTAATTTGATCAAAATCAAATTCTGATGTCACCTAAATTCCTTCTAAATGCCAGTTTTGTTTTTATTGCACTGAACAGTATGAAAAATAGCAAAAATGAGCCTTTTGTGATTGGCATCCAATTGGAATCTGTTGCATCTGCACAGCTCACCTGTAAGCAAATTTAAAACTTTTTTGGAAAAAGGAGACAGACACATAAGCAGCATTGTTAGAGTAATGCCAAAAGAAGCAAAAGCCAAATGAAGTAGCCTCTTGCAGAAAGTGGGTTGAAATAAATCCTCTTTAGTTTCTGCACTTGTTTATTTTTGGTTGCCCCTGAAAGGTATACTCACATGCTGAGAAGAATGAAGACACCTCATTTGTTCAATCACATAATCATCATTTTTCCTTTGTAAACATTTCATTTTTTGTGGCTGCAGTGGAGGAAAATTAGGCTTCATCAATGGACTTTTGGTGGAGGAATGGAGGACATGAAATTTTCACCTAATGCTATAATAGGAGTTGTAGCAGAAGTGGACAATATGCTAAACTTAGCTATGAGTGGGTAAAATTGTTTTACTTTGGTGTCAAGGTGATTTGATTTACATGTGATACAGGCCGTGATAGATGCAAACATCTTCCCTGTGCTAATTGAGATCCTTGGGAAGGCTGAATTCAAGACAAGGAAAGAAGCAGCTTGGGCCATCACCAATGCCACCTCGGGTGGGACTGCTGAGCAGATCCGATACCTTGTTGAATTGGTAAGTCTTGAAACCTTAGGCCTGAATGTAGAAACTTAATTTATGGGAGATAAAGGAGCCTTTAAGCTCAAGGGCTGTTTTTCCTCCATAGAAATCCATGTATTCTTAAAGGACTGTTAACTAAGGAAGGTTTCAACATTCAGGCCTTAGGCTTTCCTCTTTGTGTAGTTCCTGTGATACCATTTAGATATGTGGATAACTTATGGATAATTATTTCCCATTGGCATTATTTACAGTGGGTTTTAATTATAATTTTAGCTTCAGCTTTATTACAGGTTGATTTTTCCCTGCAATGACTGTATTTATCATATAGGGCTGCATTGCTCCCCTGTGTGACCTGTTGACGGTGATGGATTCCAAGATTGTTCAGGTTGCCCTCAATGGGCTGGACAACATCCTGCGACTGGGGGAACAGGATGCCAAGGCCAGTGGGGTTGTGAATCCCTATGCTCTCATCATTGAAGAATGTTATGGTGGGTTTGTTTTCCATGTAGAAGTTAGCATTTGCTTCTATAGCAATAATTCCACCTTTGATTATGTGTAAAGACTCGTTTGGTGTGATATGGCAATAATGTAAATGGTAGGCAGGGGTTGTATGTGTGAAGGAGGCTTCACTTTCCCTCATCTGTTCTTGCTTTGTTGTAAGCATTGTGAAGTGTCAGGAATCCCCTGCCAGAGGTAAGGATCAGTGACATGATTTTCTGTGCACACAGGCCTGGAGAAGATTGAGTTCCTGCAGAGCCACCAGAACACAGACATATATCAGAAGGCGTTTGACATCATTGATCATTACTTTGGGGCCGAAGAAGACGAGATGCGGTTGGCACCAGGGGATGGGAATCAGGTTGCATCAGGGCAACACCTGGAATTCAACCCACCCAATGCCTCTCAAATGGGGGGGTTCCAATTCTGATCCCCCACCTTCCTAGGAATTTTTTTGTTTCTATTCACCTCTCTACATCCTCCTCTGTCATCATCGTATATATGAAAACACGTTGTTGTTGTTTCCCTGTGAGAGTGAGAGGGTGCAGTTGATTTGTGAGTGTGTATGAGGGTGTGATGTGAGGATTCAAGGACGGACTGTGATAGCTCCTCCCATCTTTCTTTGTTTCTCCCATGTTATCCTTTTCTATTCACTTTTCCTCACCTAATAACTGTCTCGGACAGTGCGACAGACGACTTGGACATTCATCCCATGTGTCCTGGTGCCATACTGACCACGACCAAAGACATCTCTCTCTCTCTCTCACTCTTGCTTTGGTGTGATATGGGAATCATTCTCTGTTGATTCTGTTTAATCCCCCCCAGTCTGCAACTTCACTCCTCAGTGTCAAACAGGCAGTCCAATGTTCATGCTAGTCGCAGTAGATGCTAGAGGAAAAAGCAAAGCTTTTCCTTTCAGATTTTTCCTTAAAACTAAATGTCTTTCACAGACTGGTGAGGTGTGGCCTTGCCCGCACATTCAAGCCTCTTCATTTCAAATCAGTTTTTTCTGTCTTATTTTTGGAGGAAGTTGCTGAATGTTTCTTGGTGAGAATAAACCTTCTTCCCTTAATAGTTCATGCCTTACAAATGATTCAAGCCTGTTGCAGATTATAGCAATATTCCATTTCTCTTATGTTTGAGTGCTGATGATCTCCTGAGTGCTGACATGGAAGCATTCATGCTCAATTTCAGAGCAAACTAGGAGAATCTCTTGTCTCTTGGATTCAGGAAAGGGTTCCCAGAATGCATGCTCCAAGGATGGAATTCAGGCACTTTGTAAAGGTACTATCAATGGGGAGGGTTGACTGGAACCAAATAGGTTTTAATGATGACTGACAAGTTACCCAATCATAATTTATTTTCTGTCAGGATGATGTTGAAAGAGTCTTCTATCCCTACCCTTTCATGAGTGTTTTAACCTTGACATTACCAATGATGCATCCGAGTAACCCTTCCATGGCTACACACTGAAATATCAGTTGCACCCCAGGCAGAGCTGGGCAAAATACAAGTGAAAGAGCATTTAAATACAAAATACAAATGCCCATGACAAAATGTATTGTAAATGCAAAATATAAATACAGCCCAGTAATGCTATTTCAAATGCAAAATATTTATTTTGAAATACAATTGAAAATACGAAATATTACATTTTCAAGTTTACATAGTGCCTTTCAGATTTTGCCCAAAATCAGGAAACCTTCAGAAGTTCTGACCATTGGCCTTCATGCCACATAGCCTGAGCATGGCATTCTTTGTTTTCCTTTCTGAATCCCAGATTGCTCTCCGTTATACCATTCATAATCCTCGTGATCTGAATGTAGTCTCTGAAAGCAAAGAACAGAAATATTAACCTGCGTTGGCAAGATTTGGGCTGGCACAATGTCAAGGTCTAAAGATGGCCATTATATCTCAAATCAAAAACCTTGTTAGGGCCAAGGACAAGGTTAGCATATTTACACCAAAATATTGCAACACAATCAACCTTCAAATGTATGAAGAAGTTGAATGTTGCAGCTAGTATTCCACTGATCACTTTCTCTGTAGATTATGCAGCACATTTGGCCTTGATCCTCTACCCCTCTTGTTCAACAATGCTGAAGAATTTCCCATCCAATAAAGAAGGCAAGCCTTCTGAGGTAGCCAAGTTTGAAGTTGCACTGAACCAATTAAAAAGTATTTTACATTTTGTAAAATGTATTTCAAAATACTTTTTTTTGCAGAGAACTGTATTCCAAATGTAAAATATAAATATGTATTTAAATACTAAGTACCTGAAATGTATTGAAAAATGTATTTTAATTACAATTATTTTAAATACTGCCCACCTCTGACCCCAGGTTGGTTTATTGAAAAATCCACATCTATTTTCTTCAACCACTCCTTTACAGTGGCTTTAATTTCATCTGCACTTCCACACTGCAGATCATCTTCCATGCCCCAAGTGATTTTCACATGTTTGAGCCCATGAAGGATGGTTTGCATGGAAGATGATTATGTTGAATTCTTTTTAATACTTTTTGCTACTGAAATCTCAAAAACTCTAGAAATAACTCTCTTTCTAACTGGAAGGGGCTGTCAGAAAGGATAAATTCTTGAATGTTTGATTTAGTTCTGGATTAGATGCATTTTCTTACCAAATGCTGGTAAAATTTTGTGATGGTGGTTGATCACTTCTTTGTTGTGCAGGTGCTTGTGTTTCTTTAAACATGTTTTTGTATGGTGTGCTTTTCCTTGCTGGCATCCTATGCTGTGGGCATGGGTTACTTTGGGTTGCACCCTCAGACCCTCATCCCCTTTCTGATGAATACATCAATCATGTCAACAGCCTCAATTCTACCTGGAAGGCAAGTCTTAAATCCAGACTATAATTTTGGTGTGGAAGTCAAATTTCTGTGGATTGTGAAATTGATGACCTGCATGTGACTTTGTGAAGACTGAGGACATAAGTTGGCCTATTACACTTGTACTAAATATTCAAGAAGATACTGCTTTGATGGGAATTCTTCAATGCATGCTAACAAAGCTCTACCTGGAATTGTTGTGGGCAGTTGGAGTCAAGTACTCTTGAAAAGGGGCATAAATACCTGTATGCTCTTTTTCATATCCATGCTAATGTGCCGCTCTAGGCAACCTGCAATAGAATAAAGTGATCTGTTGAGATGTAAAGGATATGAAAGAAAATACCAATAACTTTTTCACCCATATATTTCAGCAAGACTTTTGCTGAAACTATATTTATGAAACTTGCTCTGTGGATATATTTATTTGTTCTCAACATACATTATATATTTCATCAAAAACAAAGCTGTGATTTTTTTTCAAAAGAAATTGACTTAGATACTACTAGTATCTCCTTTAGGACTTAAATACAGTCATGGTCTGAGAAAACTACAACCTTTTCTTTACTTTGAGAATCAGTGGAAGCAAAGATGATATCAGTTACCCTCTGTATGTCTGACCACAACAGAGGTATATTTCATTAGAGCCTTCCACCAAGGTAGGTTTCTACCAACCCCACTTTGAGCATTCATATCACATCCCAAGGTTGATGGAGCATGGTTTTCCTATAAATATGAAACCACCCTTATCATCTCTGGAGAAGGAAAGCTGACCATTGCAAAAATTATGTTTTCATAATTGTTCTTCCTTAAGCCCCCACCACAACTGCCATTGTATCTTGTTCTAAGAACTGTGGCAACAACCAAATTGCAAGGGCTTGGGAGGCAACAGATTGAGGGAAATCTCCCTTATTGTTGTCCATAGCTTATGTATGTGAGTCAACTTTTATTATTGACTATCAGCCTCTTATGTTTTTATATCTTTTAAATCTGAAAATTTTATCTTGTTGAACAGTGAAGTGGTATTAGTTCAGTTCTGCATTCATAGAGCTATGCAGGTTATTCCCATGCAGAACATGCAATAGCCTTGTGCATCTTTTGGGTAGGGATATGATTACTGGAATTTTTCCAGTTGCTCTTTTGAATAGGGAGCATGTAGCTTTTGAAAGAAAAGTTCATCAAGATATCTCCTACCAGATGTTCATAGTTCCCGGTAGGTCATCAAAACCATGAAGGCCTGGTCAGAAGCTCTTACAGCTGTTACCACTGTCAGGAATCGTTTTGGGGGGCATTCCTTCTACTGGCAGTAAAGCTGTCGCATGAAATTGCATGAAAATCGCACAATGGCAGCACAATTATGAAATGCTGGCATTTCACTGCCTTTGAATATTTTTCGGATGCTTTGAAATATTGAATGTTCTATGTGCAGGCAGGGAGGAACTTTGCCCCAGACTACCCATGGAAGGAGATCCTGATCTTGATGGGGGTGCGGGAAGACCTGCGCCACCATCGTCTTCCCACAAAACTGACCATCTCCGATTCCGTTGTCGTTCCCAAGTCCTTTGATTCCCGAGAAGCCTGGCCAGACTGCCCCACCATACGTGAAATTAGGGACCAAGGATCTTGTGGATCTTGCTGGGTGAGTCCCATATACCTTTGGAAAAATAAATGCGTTTATTTAATTCCAGGTGATATCAGCATTGTTTTTTGGTAAGTTTAAGACATAATCTCTTTGATCTATCCACAACCAGGAGCACAGTCAGGGAGTTTGCTGTGAAGAATGTCCAAACTCATCAGAACCTTTATCATGATTTTATAAACATGCTACAGTTAGAGTAACAAGATAACCCATCACAAAAAATAGTCATAAGGCATAAGATCGGGTTTACACATTGCTCCCACTCAGTTGTTATGCTCATTATGCACTATTGTAAGAGTTCCAGACACATTTGAGGGAATTGAACTGTGATTAACTTTCATTCTGCTCTCTTCTGCCTTCAGGTCTTAGTCATTATAGTATGTTGCCCAAAAGAATGTTAGGTTGCTACAGTGACAGATGTGTGGGCTGGAGCATTGTTGTCCCAAAGCAGCCACTCTCCAGATCTCCAGTTACATGGTTGTTTCCAATGAATGGCATCACCTAAACATTTGATGACTTTTGTTAGGATGCCCTCCCTCCCTGTGCACTATGAATTGGGTATCCTACCAAAGAGTCCTTCAATGTTCAGGTGATGCCATTCATTGGAAACAACCATGTAACTGGAGATCTGGAGAGTGGTTGCTTCAGGACAACAATGCTCCAGCCCTGTCACTGGCAACCAACCTCATCAAGCACAAGGTGAATGTCCATCTCCAACCCATGTACTCACCAGGTCTGGCTGTGTGTGACTTTTTTCTTTTCCCATACCTGAAGTGTCACTGGGCCACTTTACCATTTAAAAAAATGTATATCAGAACTTTTTGACTGGCCCTCATATGTAACATGTAACGGATGATATAATGAAATTAGCCACTTGAAACCCAAGTGAGCTTGCTTTTATTCTAGACCTTGTCAAATGACCAAATGAGTCATCTGTGCCTGCTTGCTCAAATGAACTGAGTAGTGCAAGTTTGATCTTGCATGGAGGAAGCAGCCAGAGTTTGCACACTTGCTCATTTAATATGGCCTGAAAAAAAAAATTTACTTTGATTCTTAACACTAAGTCCTTTACCTGTCACATGGCCTAAGTCCAAAATGCATTAAAATCATGAGGGCTGAAAGTAATAGTGACCAACTCCACTTAAATTTCACCTATACATGTTGGATGTGACACCCTATGAATTAGTCTGTTTCCCTGTAAAATTGGAAACGTCTTTGAGGCATCCTGGTATATTTTCCTTTTGATGAAGCTTATTTTCTTCCCTATGTTTTTATGGCATCTTTTGGCATGCAGGCATTTGGAGCTGTGGAGGCAATGAGTGATCGTTATTGCATTCACTCTAATGCAAAGAAACATTTCCACTTCTCAGCTGAGGATCTGCTCAGCTGCTGCCATATCTGTGGATTTGGTTGCAATGGAGGGAATCCTGGGGCTGCCTGGTCCTATTGGGTCAACTCTGGCATAGTGAGCGGTGGTAACTACGACACTAACATGGTCAGTTCCTGAGTGCTGCATGAATGGAGACAGAATTTTGTAGATTCATAGGAGACTCAGAATTTATATTGCATTCCATTAGCTATGCACTGCAAATTATTGAACATTTCAGTAAATTACAGTGTGTGATATACTGGCCAGAGTGGGACTGGAGATTCTTTTAAAGCTGAGTGAAAGTAACTCATTGGAGTTGTTTAATAAATTCAACAAATTGACTTAGTAGTTCCCATAATAATGGTGCTCTAGGAGATGTAGCTTTTACAGTCCTTTAAAGTACTCTCCTCCAGGATCCTAAAAGTGCTGCAGCTTGCTCAAGCAATTGTGGAAAGCTACTTGATAATCCTCTGGTGGTATCCTCCTCAGCTCTGAATTTACTGTTTTGGCCAAGTCTTGATTATGACTAAGAGGCTTCATTGCTGGAAAGAAACTAGCATGAAGGACATTGTATCCTTGCACCTAGGGCTTAACAAGTTTTTCCATTTCATTCACAACCTCATGAGGATGCCTAGGCTATGGGTCATCTTCAGGATTTTTTCCCCCCATCAAGGAAGCAGTGTATCCAACATACACCTTATGATGAGAAAACAATCTCTCCTTGCAGAGTCTTAAGCCAACTTGGATACACTTATATCTTCTCCTAACTGGAAGCAAATGAAAATGTAAAAATGCTTGTCCTCTTTTGTTGGCTCCTACAATGCAGTTTCTTTCTCCACTGAATATAACACAGAGAAAATGCTGAATCTTAGACAAGTAGCTTCCTTTCAATATAGCAAGCTGGAACTGGCTTTCAGGCTGTAGAATGGGAGACTGGAAACATTTTAACCTCTTGTGTTTTGTGTGACTTTGCAGGATTTATTGAATAACCCTTGTACAGGGTGATTTTTTATTCGTCTGACCATTAAAGATGCTTATAATTTCCTTATTTATGAAACTAAGAACAAGATGTTTTAAAGGAGGCAAGATTAGTTTTGGGAAAGTTTATTTTCATAAGTTGGCCACCAGTCAATTTTTTTTCATCATGGCATCAATCCAGCATGAAGCAGAAAGTGTTCATTGTGAAACAATTATCTAAGTGAAAATTCCATTGTGACATTTCAACTAATATATTGTGGTGAATTTGGTGTGCATGATGCACCTCTCACATTTAGTTTATCAATTTGAATGAACAGGAAGTGTTCTCGACCAATGAAAAGGCCAGGCTGGCCACCCTACAGTACACATGCCTGAAATAGTGGAGGATGCACAAGAAGTGCTTACAAGAAGCCCTCGTAAGAATCTGTGATGGCTGTCACAGCAACTTAATCTCAGCTACAGTGCTGTGAGGAAGATCTACTGCCCTGATTTATCAGCTTACTCATACAAGATACAGTTGCACCAACCCATGAGAGATATTGGGAAGAGCAGATGCTTGGTGTTTGCTAACAAATTTTTATAGCTTTCTTGAAAATGAGCTTGATATTTTATTAATTTGATATGGTTTTTGACTAGGCACATTTCCATTTAGACAGTTATGTGAATAAGCAAAATGCATGGTTTTGGGCTTTAGAAAACCTGCTTGCTGTTGTCGACAATCCATTGCATTCACAAGTCACAGTGGGGTGTGCTTTGTCAAGCATTGGCATCTTTGATCCAACGTTCATGGTGAAGGCATGGTGAATTCTTGTGTTTATCTGGAGTTGTTAAGGGAGAACTTCATCCCTTTTCTCATGGGTTGACATGAATAAGGCTTGCTTTCAACCAGATGGAATGAGACTTCATACAGCAGGTGTTGTGTTGGACTTACTGCAAGTGACATTCAATAACAGAGTGTTGTCTAACAGGTTCCTTGAGATCCATGGCAGAGGTCTGACTTGGCCACCATTGTGATCTAAACCCCTGTGATTGTTTCCTTTGGGGATATTTAAAGGATAAAGTATTCTAGTTCAATCCACTCACTTTGGAAGCCCTGATAGTGGCAAATGAGCAAGGAATGTGTTCAATCTCAACAGACACGTGGCAGGCTGTGCTGCATAATTTCACCATACAGTTATGACATGTGATTGAACAAAGAGGACACGTTGTGCATGGTTTGTCACAAAGTGTAAATTTCCTCTGTGTAATTAGTTTACAAAAATATTCATGCTCCTAAATTAAATTGTATGCTTTTATGAGCAATTGTTATGGTCAGATGAATAAAAAATCACCCTGGTATTTTGGTTGGTGTTTGCAAGTAAAGTCACAACTTTTTTGAGCTGGTTTATAGGCCTAATTCAGTGTATCATCAAAAAATTAGTAATCTCGTAAAGGACCCTTGAATTAGACGTAGGTCAAATCACAGTACCAGTATTGGTGTACCATCCCATGCCTGGTCATTTCCTGACAGCAGGACTATTCCAATTCAAACTCTCTGCTGCCATAAAATGTTGGTTTTGAGTTTAATCCATTGTTTCATGAATAGAAAGCATAGAAGTTCAAGTAGCTGTAGTTCCATTTCATTCATGTAGATCCATTTTATATGCTATTTAAAGTTTTATAAAGCTTAAACCTTTACAGTTCACAGGGTAGTACCTATTTTAAAGATGAATCTGTTGTTCCTTTTTGAGTTAGAGGTTGATGTAAAGTTACTTTCTTCTGTGTCCTACAAAGCATCCAAGTGAAATGCTTAATTTAAGGGCCAACCTTGGTTCAAAAATTGTTATGACTCATTTTTCATTACAGACTCTTCTTTTTTACATTGCTAGCAATGAAAATTTGAAAATAAGTCTCATTTGAGGCATTGGAGATACCTATCAGTCAAATTAATCTAATAGGCACTTGAGATAATTCTCTCAAGTTATGTAGTGATGCTTCCCTCTTCTGAAGTCTTTTTGAAATGTGTTGAGACAGGGTTGCCAGCCATATGAAATCCCAGCCTGTGAGCATCACATTATTGGCCCAAGACCCAACTGCACAGGGGAGGACAAGACCCCCAAGTGTGTGGAGCAATGCGAGTCCAGCTACTCCATCCCCTACGAAAAGGATTTGAAGCATGGTATTGTTGAGTATTTTTTCTCCCATTAGATGCCAAAGAGCTTCCAAAGTTATGTGAAAGAATGCAATATGCACTGAGTCCTATTTGGGATCTCCAGTAGCTCTTTGTGGGTCAGAGGAGGCAGACTCTCATAGGGCAGGGGAACAAGACAACTAGTGCATTCAGCTAATTGAATTGAAAAATATATTCTAGTGCAGGCCCAACAAGCCTTATCATTGTCAGAAGCTTCCTAAGTCATTCATGGCTAATTGCACATATGCAGATCAAGTCCAGATGCTTTTCTCAACAGAGGTGCAGTTTGTGCCTCGTGACTAGAGGCTGGTTCAATGTAAATGTTTTCGTGTCAAAGCCGAAGGTTCTCTATGCTGTTTAGTATGAAGAGTGGACATACCAGGATAGGATTAGGTTCTATCAATTGTGTGGCTACAATTTGAACACCTTGCTTAAAGATTTTGTCTGAGACTTTTAATTTCTAAGATTCCCAGAAGGAAGTGCTTTTGAGAATAAAAGCATGGGGATTTATAATAAAGATTGTACAGAGGCACTGGGGAAGGCATGAGGGCCAGATGCACTTTTTATTGTGATATCATTCTTACATGCCACCATTGCTAATGTCAACCATCTGTTATTTTTATGACACTCTTTTTCCTTTTCAATTTCTCAATGCACTGTGATGCCATGGCATCAAAGGAAAAATCATGTTCTTCTCTTTCATTTGCAGTGAAATACTTGAATGTACCAATCTATGCAGGGTAATTAGTAAAAAGGGAAGTCCAAATTGTGATGTCATTATAGCCTTTCTTCTCATGATCTCTAGCCATTCTTCACATGCAGTGGATGATATTTGCATGATCATATGTATCTAAAGCTTATTCTTGATGCTTTCCCCCTCCAGCACCCCAAGTTTATTGGAAGGTTTTGCCTTGTCATCTGGGATACCCACTAATGTTGTTCTTAAGATGATTTCTTTTTGCATGTGTAATGACCCCATTGCTGCAGTATGTGAGGAAACTGACATATCACCCACATACTAATAATAAAAAGGTTTCATGCATCACAAGCTAATGGGCCAGGAAGAGTGTAGGAGGATGGCTAGAATGATGTCATAATTCATACCTGCCTATTTATTTGATCACCCTCTATAGACTGCTACCATTACCCTCAAGTATTGAATGATGAAACAGGGTGAAAGAAATGTTTACTTCAGTATTGGTGTTGCCTTAATGACAGAAAATAATTTACTCTCTCAGCAGCAACTATTTCTGCAGTGTGGATCCCACAGGATACAGGCATTTCTATTATGCAGGTCGGGAGGCATATTCAGTTGGCAATAATGAGATGGATATTCAGAACGAGATCATGAAGAATGGTCCTGTGGAGGCTGCATTTACTGTGTATGAGGACTTCTTAACCTACAAATCAGGTGAGATAACCTGCTCCATCATCCTTTAGACAAGAAATTTTGATATTTGAGAATCCTTCATTGCATGATACTTTTGTCAGCTAAGACTAACATCATTGACAGTTGTAGAAACCTGTACATAGAGAGATTGAAATTGCAGGACCTCATTTATATGTCATATTTAGGCTTTCACATGCAGAAATAAAGGACATCCTTCAAAAAAATTTTACATGACAACATCAATTCCTTTGTCTAAGGGATGTCCAGGAGACACCAATTTCTGCAGACAAATGACATTTTGATTTCCTTTGACTGTGTCACTGATTCACATGTGTTCTGAATTGCCTTGTGTGTCCACATTGTCCTTGGGCATTCCAAATTACTGATATTACAGGTTCTCTGTCCCGTGTGTCCTCCATTTTGCAATGATTTGGCATATTGTCAATGCTGATGGTGACTCCAGGGTAGGATTTTGATTCTGGAAAGCTTGTTGTACACATATAACAGACTTAGTCTCAACATGTTTCTCAAAAATAAATATTCTCTGCTCCATTGATAGTTGAACCATTTTTTACCTCCAACAATAGAAAAAAAAAACTTTGAGATTCTCTTATCATTAGCATTTTTGTTAGATGTTGATATCTTGAACCAAACAAAAGTTGCAGCATTTAAACATGTAACTTAATTTTGGTCCACTCTATATAGGGTGGCCCATAAGTAAGTTTACCTGATTAATGAACCAATGGGTGAAATCCTTTGCTCTTTACTTTGCTGGTAAATCTATGAGCCATTTCAGCAGTATACAAATATGGTCTTCAACAGGATCTAATATAAAAATAATATCATGTAAAATAAGTAACAATTTTAGATTGTTAATAGAATAGTGCAGCTGATGATCCTTTGGTAAACTTTCATATGGGCCACCCTGTATATGGAGGATCAAAGCAACAGCACTAACCATGGCCCACATGATAGTGCAGGTGTTTGTTCTTGTTGATTTGACCATGGAGGAGTGAAGTTACAGTGCTGCCAAAGAATACCCAATAGGGTGCTGATCAGACTTGGCTACATCTGAGCAAAGTGAGGACACCAGCTGAGACCCACATGATAGCATGGGTCTGGGCCAGTGTCTCTTACCCTTGAGTTGCTACTTTTTCTGTCTATACATCCCTGTGCTGAGTTTACTTGTTGGATACCATGGTTTGTGATACTTGCTACTTAAGATAAGTTCTCTCATGTTAGTGAAGCATTGGACTGGTTTCTGCTGTCCTAGAAAAATCTCTGCAAAATCTCTGCTATATCTCCTGCCAGGAGTGAGAGACTTTTATGTTATTTGTTCATAGAATCTAAAGAGTGGATGTATTACTGCATACTTAGCTTCTGGACAGTGTTTGTGAAAGTGGGTAAATTGTTACAGTGAATAAAAACTTCATAATTTTATTTCATCTTAGGTGTCTACCAGCACGCTCATGGGAAACCCCTTGGAGGTCATGCTGTCCGCATGCTGGGCTGGGGAGAAGAGGATGGAACTCCATATTGGCTTATTGCCAATTCATGGAACACTGACTGGGGCAATGGTGGCTACTTCAAGATCCTTCGTGGAAAGAACCATCTGGGAATTGAGAGTGAGATCTCAGCTGGGCTTCCACGCTACAATTGACCTCTTTCTGGCTCAATGTGAGGCCTATGTCACGTAGTTACCTGTCTTTTACATTATTTTTTCCTGCTTTTGTGCATTGGTCAGTACATGATTCTTTCCTTTGTTGGTCAGTACAGTTCAGCATTAAAGCAATTTTTGGTATTTCCTCATGAAAGTCCTGTTCATCTATAGATTCATAATTTTGTAGCTCTGCCCCATCAGAGCTGTTAGAAGTATAGTGAAATAAAGAGAGGATGACTGAGCAACACTTGTCAGCAGGTGTCTTACAAGCACGTTGGCTTAGCTATCATTTTTAACTTGCCGTTATAATGCAAGTTAGGGAGGGACTGGTATAGCCCATTTAGGGATGCACTCATACACAGATATAAAGTATTTTAAGGTTAGTCAATAAGTCTTCACCCTGACTATGAAGGAAACAATGGATTTTGATCAAAACAATTTTATTAGTCAATTACTTTCCATTAAGCTCAATACACCTCTGCCATGTCGTTAGAAGCATTTCAATTCCTTTCTTAAAGAAGTCTTCATCTTGTCTTATAATCCACCCTTCAACTGTTGATATCCATCAGGAGAATATTCTTGTTGCACTTTTCTGGGTAAGACTTGTGTAGTTTTTCCATCATTGTCTGTATCTGACCAGAGTAGACATCGGAGTTGATTGTTTTCCCTTTTTAAAGGAAGTCGATATGGATCACTCCCCTGTAGTCCTATGGATTGTGTCCTGAAGTGGTGTCAACCCCAAGAACATCCTTCAAGGACACAATCCTGAAGATCAGCAGGAAAGATGATGGCCTCAGTTTTTTGGATTTTGTTGATTATAAGACCAGATGAAGACTTCTTTAAGAAAGAAATTGAAATGCTTCTAATGACATGGCAGAGGTGTATTGAGCTTAATGGAGAGTACATTGACTAATAAAATTGTTTTGATCAGAATCCCTTGTTTCTTTCATAGTACAGGTAAAAGACTTATTGACCGACCTTATTGTACTAATATCAGCCAATATCAATGTCGCTGATCTGATCCAATTCTACACTGCTGTACATCATACTTAATGCAGAGCAAGTACATTTTTGGACAGTCCTGCAAGAAAAGAACTACTTTTAATGGAATACAATTCCTCAAGTCCATCCTAGTTCTTGAGCTAATCTCCAATTGATTGACAATGACCTTGTGCTTGCTAAAAGAAGAATGCAAGAGATTTGGGAAGAGCTTTGCAATAATGGAAATGGGCCAGTCATTCAAGTACATTTTCATTCCCTCATTTTCTCTCCTTTCTGCCCCCCTGCCTTCCTGTGCTGATTAGTTTGCACAGGTGCACTTAGTGCTCTTGTCCATCCTACTTCCAGCTCTCCCCTCATGAACTCCAATCCTAGTTCTGGTTGCTAGATGAACAACATTGGGTATAGTACCTATGCCCACTCCTTTCTGCCACATTGTCCTTTGGACATGGTACCTGAGGCATTCCAGCTCAAGTGATCAAGGGGTGGTTGCGCTTCAGACTCCGATTTGCTTAAAAAAATTATTGCATGCTGGCAATCAAGACGTATGAAAAAATCCAAAATTTTGGCTCTCTATAATAAATCTAAATATAAAGTCTTACATCTAATGAACAACGACATTTGACATACGAGGGGCTGTCTAAAAGTATTTTTAATTTGTTTCCCTTTGCACAACCATATATGCTACTGAACTGCCAACCATATTCAGTGCAAGGTTTGGTATCTGCCACCATGTAGTGGCCGTTGTGGATACGAACTCCAATCCCAGTCATTGTGAGAATAAGAGATTGACACAGCAGTGATGATATGCAAGGATGAGTATGAAGGCACAGCAGCGATGAACTATTTGGTTTCTGCAGCCGGAAGGTGCCGTGACCACCGATATTGTGAGACGGTGCAAATAATCTGAAGTGAGCATTCAAAATCTGCCCAGATGGTTTACAAATCATGCAATATTTTAAGACTGGGATAGACGGCACCAGCTGATACACTCTGCACTGGTCGTCTCAGCATGACAACGCTTGCCCATGCACAAGGAAGCAAACAAGAGGCAATATCCAGATTCTGGTCAGACAGTCCAACACCACCCCTACTCCCATATTACTGTCCCCGACAGTTATAGGTTATTTGCCAGCTTTAAGGTGCCTTTGTGTGACGACACTTTGGCACCAGAGAAGTTTTACAGGAAGCTGTTCAGTGTGGGTGCAGAACAAACCAAAACAGTGGTTTGGAAATGGCCACCAGAAACTCCCACATCGTTGGAAAATGAGCATTGACATTGGGGGGAGGGAGGGGGTGGGGTATGCTGAGATGCTGCATTGCCAAAACCTGAGTTCCATCACGCGTATGTGTGCGAGTGAGAAATTAAAAAGGCTATCAGACCACCTCTCGTATGTCAAATGTCGGTGTGCATAAGTTGAAAGACTTTATCTTTAGATTTATTATAGGCATGAACACTGCCATTTGACATATGCAACAGCCATATTACACTTTGAAGGAACACAACTCCATTCTGAAGTCTGAATCTTCTGAAATGTACATGCATTCATGCGTTAAAGATACCAACTAAATTATTGCGTTTGGAATTCCATTAATGTGTTCAATATTGATATTTTATTGCTTAATGCAAGCATATAATAGAAATAGTGATATTTATTAGTCAAATGTGAGATATGCATAGGTCTGGTTGTTTAACCAGATTCCCATCGCTGTAATTTCAGTCATACCTTTCGTTTGGGAATTTGCAGAATTCATACACAGTCATGAAAAGTAAAAGTAACAACACGAGTAATATATCAATGGAAAGCGCTGGGGGAGAGCTTTCATTTGACACTAGTTACAAGTTTATATCCTGTTCAAAACAGGAAGTACGATCCACCAAAGTTGGTGAAAATAGGCAATTTTGGACTTTTCAAATTTAATTTTAAGTTGTTTCAAAAAACGTAGGAAGTTGAAATTTAGTTCTTAAATTGCCACTGCCTTAGTCTACAATGTTACGAAAGGTCGTGGTGTTACAATGCATCTTAGTGCTAATAATTTGCGTGCAAAATTCTGCAATATTTACAATTTTGGAAATTGCATAACTCAATTTCTAATAAACGCAGTAGAAAATGCATTTAATAATGTGATTCTACATGGTCTCAGCTTTACTTAGAGTCCAAAAACACATTTCTACCCCAACTAGGACCAAAGATAGTGCTTTAACCCTAAAGGCCACTTTTCCTCTTGGGGGCGAAGTTTGGGGCCACACACCTCAAGATCCATTAGAACCAGAGAGCCAAAATTTTGGATTTTTTCATAAGTCTTGATTGCCAGCATGCAATAATTTTTCAAGCAAATTGGAGTCTGAAGCCCAACGGAAGTGACTAAAATTTGACCACTTGAGCTGGAACACCTCACCTATGAGTGATGAGTTTTTGGGCCAGCCTGGGAGGTGGCAAGGAAAGTTTTGTCTTGAGAGTTTAATATATTTGCTAATGTAAATGTCTCCAGATCCAAATAACTTTGAGTGCTATGCCCCTAGAGTCCAAATACTTATTTCTACCTTTCTATGCTTAAAGTAGTATTGGTGTCAGCCAATATGAAGACACTGAAATCTGTATTGCTTATACCTGGATAGGTGTATTCTTATTTGAAATCTGCTGCTATAGCAATTCTTGCGTGAATTTGTTGCCTTCATTCTTGCCCATTCTGTAGCCCTATAACAGAGGAGTTATGGGATTACTTATGAAGAATGTCTTTTGATGTATCATAACATTGGCTATTAATTGATATTTTTGGCATTTTATGCTCTTCATGCCATTTTAACAGTTGCATCATTTCTGTTCGATCTTCTTCCACTTAGAATGACTCATAGTTCCCTCATACGATCACAGAATATGAGATTATGGTTATCATTTGCAAGCTGAGCCCAAGACAAGCCTGGATTTTTCCCTATGGTTATTATGGTAATGTTTTATTATTATTAGATGGGAAAGAGGGTATTTTTCAGGATCCTGCTGATTTTTCCCCCCTAATTTTAATGCTCTGAAATTTTGTTAATGAAAAATCAGCCTCACTGAAATTGCTTAAACCTGAATTGGCTAATTATAATCCATATATCCATTCTTCATTGTCTGACTAGGCCTTCATTACCCTTATGTAATGTGGACTCTCACTGTTTAAAGAATAATCTATGCTACTTATATGATAATATGACAGGAAGGTTGTTAAGCAAATTACAGTTTGTATAAGAATCCAAATTAAAAACCACTAATTACTGTGATCACAAAAACATTGAATGCTCTTCAGAGATTTCCATCAAGTACATGGCTAAAATTCCATTGTGGATATTCAGGAGGCATGTACTGATAGGACTTATCAGAATTGCTCTGATCAATCCAGAAGTGATAGCCTCACATCTAAGGCAGCCCAAACTTTCCCTTGGCATACCATGTTTCATCTTGATAGTCACATTCCATTTTGCTTTCTTCTTGTGGACTGATGGATCAGAGAAAACATATTAAAGGGTGAGGAGATGCTGATAAGGGGGCAAGGATTGGCAAAGGCCAACTCTTTGGCATCAATGGCAAATAAATCATGCCCTGTTATTCTGAAACTCTTATTGGTCATCAACCATCACACTTCTCACCTCATGTTTATAGGACTAAAGGCCACTTGCAGGAATGAAACCAAGTAACCAAGAGAAAAATAAGTGCAAAAATGACCCTCTCTGTGTCATAATTTCAGCTTACTAATGTCAACAGCATCTCATCATGACAGAGGTACATTCATGGTGTTCACATGTTCATGAGACTGGTTCTTTATGAGGATCACAAGAACAGGCCACCACATACCACCATATAAACTGAAGAAATAACCATTTGTTGCTCTTTGTCAACACTTAAAATTTCCACTCAAGATGTACATGACAAAAACCAATCACAACTCAAAGAATCAGTAGCTCTTATGAACAGTGCTACCACACAAACATTTTTAAAATGGAGACATTAAATAAAGGCTATGTTAACTGTTGGGTGTCTTTCTCATCCAACACTACTAAGTTTCAGACAAGCCAAGTGAGATTACCAAACCCGTCTCAGCAGCTGACTTCAGGAACACTCCCAAAGCAACAAGGAATTGGAATAAGGGTATCATCTAGGACACATAGCATGGCGTCCACCATCAACAGGGAGACAAACACCTGTCACAAAGCTGGAGGCTTCACATGCCAGGAATGCAATAGCTTGGGCTACCTCCTGTGGATCTCCTGCCCGTCCCAACGCATGTGTCTCCTTGGTCCGCTCCAAGAACTACCAAACAGACCACATAAAGCAGGAATGTTCTTTGTATCACAAAAAAATAAGATGCAACTACAAAGACTAATTCTTTGCATTTTTTTTAACATCTAGATGCATAGAAGTGCTATGTAAATACAGGGTGATTTTTCATTAATTGGTCCATTATAGATGTTTATACTCTTTGAATAAATGAAGTTAGATACATTAAATTTTGCATAGAGGATCCATAAACAAAGGAAAGTCATATTCCATGAAAAGACTTATTCAACATGCCATCCTCTGTGTGAAACCATGCCTTAGGCATGTGGTATAATTCTGCACTATGGTCTGCAGATTATACTGGGAAATGGAGTCATATGGCCATCATTGCCCCCCACTCTCAATTCATGTGACTATTTCCTCTGGGGATGCCTGATGGACAAAGTCTTTGAGATAAATCCATGCACATTGGGAGACCTGAAGGCGATCGCAGAACGTGAAGTCTACTCCATTTCCCAGTATAATCTGCATGCCACAGTGCAGAATTACGCCACATGCCTATGACATGTGATTGCGCACAGAGGATAGCACATTGAACATGTTTTTTCATGGATTATAACTTTCCCATGTTTACAGATTCTTGATGCAAAATGTCATCTATCTTCATTTGTTCAAAGAGTATAAATATTTATAATAGTCTGATGAATAAAAATCACCCTGTATGATGCCTGTCACTTTTTCTGAGGTGGGGTGGACTGTCATTTGAAGGCTAGAGGGGCAGCTTCCTACCTGACACTGACTTAATTAACCCCTTCACTGTTATGGTCAGTTAACTGACCATGCTAAAGCACCTGTTGTGTGCACCCCTTTGCAGCAGCAAAAAGGTTAATTTAGATGAAGTGCCAGAATTGATATGATGATATTGCCAGAAATACATGAGTGGTGAGGATTAATTTCTCCTCTAGCTCTTAGATCAAGCAGAATGGGAACTCCAACAACTGCTTTAAATGTGGAAGTTGTGCAACAAGTAAAAAAAAAAGTCAGTCATTTATGGTATGGGAAAAGGGGCTACCAGTCAGAATCCAACTTTGCAATTGCAACACATCAACATTATAAATTAACTCCATGTAAAGAAAATGCAGAGAAGCATTATAGCAGAAATCGTAATTCCAGAAACATAAAAAAATATCTCATTGAAAATTTGAGGAACTTCATATGTGATATCCACAGTGATTTGATAACACATGAGAATGTTTTCAGCAAGCTATGTGACTGTAACTGGAAGAAATCTTTGCCAGGATTAACCATCATAAGTGTAATCCTCATTGAGTGATAAGATTGCTTGCCTTCTTCACAAGGGCATTAAGATCTATGGACCATCCACTTTATTTTGTGGATGGTGGAATCAAAATATTGATTGAAAGATATGTGAATTGCTGAAAGTGACCCTTTCCTGAGTTTTGCCCTTTCATATAAATAAGATAAAGTCAAAGGATCTTATAAATAAACTATAGTGTTAGAAGAATCTTTGATTCACAAGACTTAGAGAGGAAGTTAGAAAATATTATATACAGGGTGATTTCTTCTTGCTTCATGATGAATAAAGAAAGCAGAGAAGACTGACTTCAATGGAACTGGAAAGAGGTGATGAAGACAGTTGCATCAGTTTGCAGAACCATGTAAGATATTTAGGGCTTCCCTCAATTTTTTCTTAATCATAAAGTCCTGACTTTTTTTTTGGATTTACGATTCCTGCAATAATGTTTCCTTCCTGCTGTCTCCAAAATTTGAAAATAGTCTCTAATGTCTTTGCAAAATCCTGCCAAGAATTTCTGCTTCACCTATCAAGCCAGTTGACACATAAGATAAATGAAATGATACCTTTTGATAGGCTTCATCGCTGAGACCACCCCTCTTCTGCAATTCTGTCACAGTCACACCTGGACTGAAAAGAAAGTGAATGGCAACCATGTCAGAGGAAGTTGAGCCATAAGCTTCTATGCTGGATAAACTCACTTGACACTGTTAACCCTGACACCCTTTGATGCTAGTTCTGAAAGACAACAATACTTCTGATAAGGGGAAGCTGCAGCATTGTATTTAGGCTTTGCCCCACTAACTCACCTAATGCTGTGCATTTTGTGAACTGGTCCAATGCAGCCTTGGACACATTGTATGCCAGCACCCCAGGAAACTGGAAGATAAAACATGAATATGGATGAGCCTAAATGTAGAATTCTGAGAGATTCAATTTATTGTATCAACCCACAGAACGGAGTCCGTTGACACTGGAGACATTCACAATAGTACCCTGAGTCTTGATGAGATGTGGTACACACAGCATAGTCAGATGATATATGGACCTGGAGAAGAAAAGCAATAAGGAAAAATTGTCCTACAGATGAAACTATGAACTTGTCATGTGGTCAAGGTCAGGCCTTGCAGGTTCAATGCATCTCACCTCACATTCACCTTCATGAGCCTATCAAACTGCTCAAGGCTTGTATTCTCAATGGAGCCCAGCTCCAGGATTCCAGCATTGTTCACCAAGATGTCCAACTTTCCATACTTCTTCAGGGTTTCTTGAACCAGATGACAGACATCACTTTCATTTGTGAGCTCACCTGGGATGAGCAGGGGTTTCTCTACACACCTTGAAGCTGTATTTTCCAGATTGGCACAATTTCGACCTCCCAAAGACAAATGAGCTCCAAGGCGGCTGAACAGTATTGCTGTTGCTGCTCCTATTCCAGAGCTGGCCCCTGAAATTCAAATTCATAGTGTCAGGAGTGAGGGGATGGGAATGTTTTGTAAAGTGGATATGAATACGTAATTCGATAAATCTGACAAAATGATCCCACCAGTGATGATAGCCACTTTTCTTGCCAACATTTCTGCATTGCCAATCGTCACCATTTGGAGGCCGGTGACGTGTGCTGAATGCGGGCACACCTATACACTCAATTAAAGCAGGCCTAGGCCATCAGAGAGGTATTTCATTGCAGGCTGGTAGTGGCTAAATCCAACAAAGCAGCTATTCTCTTGGTATCCCTTTTGCTTAGAGAGCGAGAATTCCTAGCCCAAAGGCTTACGGACTGACTGGCAACAGCGGCGTAGCGTCAGGTGGGGTGACGGCCAAGGTGGCTCGTGCCCCCCTCCCCCCACGTTTCATGGAAAAAAAAAAGCAAAAATCACAAGGAAATGACCCATGAAATACATAACTATGTCCCATAGTTCCTATGCCCCTCCACTTCTTCCATGCACGCTACGCTTATGAGTGACAACACTGAACGTTGCGACTTTGCTCCTTACCCACACCCTCCCTTTCTTCCCCCTCTCTTCTTGCATTCAATTCCATTCAGTTTCGAGCAGTTGAGAAGCCCAATGGTAGGGTGTTGTATGAGAAAGGGCACCATGGAAGGCGGGCTCCGAAAAATTCAAGCATAGGATGTTGCCAGTAGCAATGAATACGCAAAATGATAGGCATTATGTGAATAGCAATCCACAAGATGAACCAGTGCATATTGTAAGAAAAAAATCAGAACTGCACAAATAATTATAACCCCCATGTAGGAGTGGTTGGTACGGCGCTTTATTTTCTTAATGCTCAAACACCTAACAAATGTTTACATTTTTATATTTTTTCCCCATAAAAAATGTAATTCTTGTCAAGTTTTGAACTTTTCAAATTCCAATTCAGATCTGCACATATCTGTATCCACTCACTTATGGACTAGAGATAATCGCCCCACAGACCAGTATATACCATTTGGCTTATATTAGCCTTTTTTGGTTACACAGAGGTTCCTGAATTCATTGCCTATGAATCAAGCCAAGTTTCAGCCCAGGAGAAAGAAGAGAGGACGAGCCAAACAA